ATGACCACAACTGAGCCCAACATTTATGTTGCTAAGTGAGAAATGTGTTAAGTGAGTTTTGTCCCATTTTACAACTTGTCCCATTTGTTAAGTGAATCACTTCAGTTGTTAAATTAGTAACACGGTTGTTAAGTGACTCTGGCTTCCCCATTGACTTTGCTAGTTAGAAGGTTGCAAAAGGGACCTGATCTGACCCTGGAACACTGCAACCATCATAAATATGAGTCAAAATATGAATTTGGATCACATGATTGTGGGGATGCTGCAATGGGCGTAAGTATGAAAAATGGTCATTAAGTCACTTTTTTCAATGCCATTGTAACTTTGAAAGGTCACTAAACGAACTGTTGTAAGTCAAGGACTACCTCTACTGTCTTGATTTTACTGGACAAAAATGGTATACGATTTATAGCATTTGCATCCACTGGCCACTGACTAGTTCCAGTGCTAGGTTTAAAAGAAAGATTTGCTCTATGACAGCCAGAAAGATGGAAGGTAACAAGCTAAAAGGCAACTCTTTGTGCCCATATTTCAACATGCTCTTTCCTTTCTTCATCAAGGGACTGAGTGTTAAAGCAGAGCCAGTGCAGAAATTCAGAGCATTAACACAAATGCTTTTCATTAAAACTCAATCAACACTGCAGCAAGGCTACCAACTGAGATTAGGAATTGACTGATCGGAGAATGTCACCAGCTTTCAAGACTGAGAACTAAAAACAAGTACAGAGAAAGACTCAATAAAAACAGGCGATACAGGAACCTCCTAATCTTAAACACATGTTCATGAATAGAAGCTGTATGCACAACATGATCATTTTTTTTAAAGAAAAATTAGGGCTACCAATAGAGGCAGAACTTGGAATGAAAGACATGTATTTGTACAGAACGAGAATAGTCACCATGGTGCCAATGTGCCTACAGATTATCCATAAAGCTCACCCGATTGCTGCCTTTTAATTATATACATACATACATACATACATACATACATAAAATTATTTAATTAAACAATAACTATATGAGAAAGAACCTTGCTGTGAACCATCACCTTCATGCCCCATAATGACTCTGGGCCTCACCAAGACAGCACAAACAATATTAGCCAATAAAATTAAAATGTGGGTAGTTCGGCCTAGAGCAGGGGTAGGCAACCTTGCCTCTTTTATGACTCGTGAACCAACTCCCAGAATTCCTGAGCCAGCCATGCTGGTTCAGGAATTCTGGGAGTTGAAGTTCATGAGTCATAAAAGAGCCAAGGTTGCCTACCCCTGGCCTAGAGCTTTTTGGGGAAGGCTTGTAAAAAGACAAAAGGGAAGGGGTAGGAAGGAGAGGGAGTAGCAGCACCACACCTACTTGCCTCTTGTTAAGTAAGCATTTGAAGTGGTAAAAGCGCTGTTGTGATAGATGTGGCTACATTGTCAAATATAGTAATCCAATAGAAGAGACCAGTTCAGGGTTAGTTCTTAATGCTTTCTGGTTATTTTGGAGTTGTTTTGAGGAACTCATCTCTTCCAGTAGCAACACCCAAGTGATCAAGGATCAGCACCAGACAAACAATAAAGCAGAAAAGAATACTCTAGTCAAGGAACCACCAAGGAGGAGATCACACACTCCCACCAAAACAGGAAGGGCAGGCTATTTTATATATATATAAACAGGAAACAAACCCTACACTCATTCACTTACTCACTGGGATGACATTACTTACCTAGGTAATAAAATGTCTGCAAACAAATAACCAAATAACCAGACTTCCACAGAGAAGTAGTGGTGTGGTGACTGCCTCAAAAGGTTGCATAGCCTTGAGGCAAAAGCTGTAATGCCACACCTATGTGGTCCACCTTCATTGTTCTGTTGTTATGTACATTTCCAGATGGCTGTTATATAGCTGGACATCAAAGATGGAAGAATAATTGCTTAGAAAAAAGATTTAGATCTTGGCAGCATCTAAAGAAAACTCTGATAGGATCAGAGCAACAGAATCAAAAGATAGGAAAGGCATTTCAATGGAAGCTTAGATAGAACTGGATTGTCTTTCAATTTATAGTTTTTAAGAAGAGGTTCAGCAGTCATCTAACAGAACTGATCCAACCAATACAATTATTTTCTGAACCCACATACAAAGCCTTAATCGCAAAGTCCCTTGGAAAGACACAGCATGTGGAATCACAAATAGTTTCTAGGACTGTTGCTTCTTCTGAACTAGACAGGTATGAATAGGTTAGTCATAAGCACTAGTCATCTTCATTAGTTCCTTTTTCATTTTTCCTATAAATAAATGAAAAAAAGCAAAGCAAAAACCATAAATCACTTCATGAAATTATACTATTGGAGGGTCATGAGTGAATTGCTCCTTTTATAATATGGAGCCCCAATGAATAGTTTTCTTGCTTTCATGATCACCGGCTTCAAGCAGGAAAAAAAAAAGAATGTGAAAAAAAAAATGTAGCCGTCGGACAGATTTATTTACCATGAATGATTCACACATAGTATGCATGACTGCGGGCATCACCTCTCCCAAAACCTGGCAATGTTACAGGGAGCAATTTCTCCTCCCACCCCCAAGCATCAGCTTAACTTGAAGAGTTTCTGCATTATAGTAAGCCATACAAATGTGCTTTTCTTTCAACATTAAGCATGAATTATATATTGACCAAACACCTTTCATGTGGCCAAAGCAAGGAAAATCTAACTTGACATTTATTTTTTGGCTTTCCATGTCACTTTCAAGGACAAAACCCAAGTTGTCCTAGAAGTAAAAGTCTGCCAAGCCCTAGAATTCTATACTGTCCTAAAAGTGTGAATCTGAAGTTGTGTTTTAATCTTTGCCTAAATTATATACTCCCTAGGTGGTCTAAGGTAAGGTCTCTTTTTTAAGTTTCAGCCATTACTTACCCTATAGAACACAGAGTAAGCAGTGTTTTTACTTGAGTACATTTTTTTATCCTATGTTTCACCCAAGGAATTTAGGGCTGTACATATCATTTCAACTTCTTGATCCCTTTTATCCCCACAACAATTTTGTGAGATAAGTTAAGGTTGACAGCAATTAATCCCAAGTTATAAATTGCACGGATGACTGGAGAATTGAAATGTGAACTCTCTGTCCAATACTTTATCCATATAGAGTTCACTGGGTGAGCTCACGCATTGCCTTAAACCAAAGCTTATGGAACTAAGTCCAATTCGAGTGGGTTCACGTCTCTTGCTACATCACAAATTAAGGGTAAACATCTTCTGAACAAAGGGCCATCTTGCTTCCAATGTGGGCCGGACTACTTTAAATTCACCTCCCTTGTTTTATAATAATTTATGAAGTGGGTTTTTTTTTTTGTGGATCAGGAGATTTTGTTGATCAGGAGAAAGAGGGAGGGAGGGAGGGCACACAGTAAGTTTCAGCTTTTTGCTTCATTCAGTGGAAGGTACATTTTTTTAAAATAGAGGCCAGGTAGTCATCTATCAGGGATTGAGTCAGAACTGAAGAAGCTTCTTAGATAAGAAGTGAACCATCTTCAAGGAAAAACAAAGAAAGTCTACTGCCTCTTGAAAAAGCATCTTTGGGTCATCTATCAGGGATGGTGTAGTTATTTCTAAAAATGTGTAGGAAGTTGGACTTGATAACCTGTTAGGTTCCTTCCCAATATGATTATTCAACAACAGTGGCACAGGACTCCTTTTCAGTATGATAGCTGCTTTATACAACTGGATAAAAAATTCTGCAGCCCACCACTAGACTAGGAACTAATGGCCCTATCTCCATTGCAGGACTTTTTCCTTATTTTGGAGGGGGATGCTTTTGGTGGATTTGAAGGAATGAAATGAGAATAAAGTATCAATTTCAAATTGATGAAGGAAGGAAGGAAAGAAGGAAGGAAGGAAGGAAAATCAGCCTAGTATTTTGGAGGATGAAGGGATTTGTTTTTTAAAAAATATTTACAGTTTATTGTTTTTTAATAAGCAACACAAAGAGAAAAAAACCCACAAGGATGATGATGGAGAAACATACATAAAAATGAAGGATGGAGGGATTCATGACTTCATTGGCAAATTAAACAGAAGGTATTATCCTTTAAATCCTCCAAAACCCCAAGATCTGAAAATGTTCCAACTGGGGCCAAACTTTTTTACCCTGGCTGTAAACCATGGTCTGCAAACCACAATGTGTGGGTTACAGACTATATTAAACCTAAATCAAAATGCTTCATTATAGGATGCCATGCTTAAATGGAGACAAGGGATTACTCTTCCCAAATGTATTAATATGTGTGAAGCATTGTATTGACTTTAACTGAGTCACTATAAATCCTAACTTTGTTCAGACTGTTCTTTCTTAAAAAACAATGATCCACCCTCCCACACCCCTTGTTGTGACCTTTGTATCACTACCACAATCTGATAGAGATTCAAAGAGTTCAAAGAATTTCTGAAACAACAAAATTTAGAATCAGGCCCATGCATGAGATACCTGCTCTCTTTAAACAAGTATACACAACAGAAAATTCAATGTGATAGCAGCAAACAAAACTAAGAGAAAGTAAAAATGCTTCCGAACTCAAAAGTTAACCCCCTACATGATGTTTCAAAATCAGAATTAGGCTATCCCCACAGATTTCTTTCTAGCCTCTGCCTGTAAAAATTCTGATTTCTAGAAAAAAATGAACTGTTATAGCATAAATCTGTATCACTAAAGATCTTCTTGCCAAATGTCTTCTATTGCCTTAGGTATAATAATTTGTTGAATAGATGTTGGAAAATGATTTAAGCTATTGGGTTCAAAGGAAAAGGTAAGGGTCAAAAAATCTGTACCTGTATGAGCTGCAGATTATCCAGGTGGTTTTTCAGCACTTTGCTGAAAACCTTTAACATTTTGTATATTTGAGCTTTATGAACTTTCTTTAATTAAGGAGTCAATGTCATCAGGAATTCATTAACAGTATCACAGATGAATAATCAAGAAAATAAAGCATGAAACAAAATTTTTGTCCTATAAAATTCCTTACCTTGAATGCACTGAAGAGTTCCATCTTCACCCCTTATGGTAAAAGTTTCACCTGGATTAACTTGAACAAAAATGACCTGCCCAGAAAAAAAAGAGAAAGAAACTAACATGAAAATCTTCAAATCATTTCAGTTTAACTGCAAAGTTTACAGTACGGCACAGAAAAGGTTTTTCAGAAAAAGAAACAGGATAAATCGAATCCCAAACTATTATTACACAAGTCATAATTCTTTAAATTAAGCTATATTTAAACCTAAAATAGAAAAGCAAACATACAGTATTCTTTAAAAGGAGCCCAAATTTTCATTTGACATCTACCGAGGTCTACCAATGAAAGAGGCTCAAAGGGCAAACTCACTGAAGAATATCATCTTAAAACAGAATATATTTTAATAAATCAAATTACAAACCTGCTGTTTCAAGCCCAAATTGCTCATGATCCAAAAACAAATAAAAATGTAAACAAATCCCAGCAAGAAGTAAGCCAGGAAAACAATGGTGCTGGTTAAATAATCATCATCATCAACAAAAAAAGTGCTGATCCAGCTATACACAACTGTGACCATTTAACCAAATAATTTCTGAAACCAGCTTCACTACAGAATTAAACTAAAAGACTACTATTTCTTTGGCCATTTTAATTTGTAAAATATCTTAGCCTGTTTATTTGCAGTTGTTCTTCATTTTATTGTCAATGTCATTGTTTCATGGTATATCACAGCATCCAGTTGCCTAAGTACCGTAACTCCATTTGCTTATGCACCAACCCAGCTCCAATGAGTGAAGACACACAAATGTTTCAAAAAAATAAATAAAATTTATTCCAGATGAGCTGCCTTAAAAGTAGAAACTGCATATTTCTCTCTCCAAAGTCACGTTCCTACAAACCACTATAGAGAGAGAAAATTCACTGAACATAGTGGGACTTACTGCAGATTGGAACAGAGCTGCAATCTTATCATCCCACAAAATAAATTAATCATCCTCACGGGGGTGCATTCCAACTGAAAGGGTCTTTGTAAGCTATCAACTTATCAGAACAAAAAGAGGAAGGAGACTGAAAAAAGTACACCATGCCAGAGAAAAGACAAAACATTATGAATTATTTAGGAAAGGCATTAAAAAGAAGACAAGGATAAATACCATTCTATCATCCTACAATTTACCCACATCTGGGGTGCTCATTAGGGAAGTGGAGGCTAAAACATATAAAGAACCGTTGTTGGAAATGGGTATGTCTAGTTTAATGACTAGGGATGATATGATAGCAGTGTTCCAATATCTGAGGGGCTGCCACAAAGAAGAGGAGGTCAACTTATTCTCCAAAGCACCTGAAGGCAGGACAAGAAGCAAGGGATGGAAATTGATCAAGGAGAGAAGCAACCTAGAACTAAGGAGAAATTTTCTGACAGTTAGAATAATTAATCTGTGGAACGACTTGCCTCCAGAAGTTGTGAATGCTCCAAAACTGGAAGTTTTTAAGAAGAGACTGGACAGCCATTTGTCTGAAATGGTATAGGGTTTCCTGCCTGAGCAGAGAGTTGGATTAGAAGACTTCCAAGATCCCTTCCAACTTTCTTATTCTGTTCTATTATTATATCAGCAAGATGGAGAGTAAGAGAAAAGATCAAGTAGTTTTCTCCCCTACGGTGAAAAATATTTAATAGTTGGGATTTTCTTGTTTAAGGGGAAAATAATGGAGTAGAACATCATTTGGAACTGTCCATTGCCCCTCTCATCCAAGAAGCTTAGAAGGAAGAGTAAATTGTTCTTTTCTCCCCTATTTAATTCTCACAAAAGCTCTGTTAGACAATGATTGACCCAAACTTTAAAGAAAAAGTAGGAATTTCAATCTGGATTTTCTTAACCCAACTTTCTGACTATAATGCCACATAGTAAAGTAAATACCATCTTGAGATACACATTGCTTCAACCAATGTGACTGGATCACGGTAGAGCCAAACTTCACATAAATAAGCATTCTGAAATGAGTCCACAGCTGATACCATTTATTGCCATCGGGCATTCTAAGGGGTGAAGCTCAAATACTTTGGCCATCTAATGAGAAAAGAGGACTCGTTGGAAAAGAGCCTGAAGTTGGGAAAGATTGAAGGCAAAAGGAGAAGGGGGCAGTAGAAGATGAGATGGTTAGACAGTGTCATCAAAGTAATGAATATGAATTTGGGCAGACTCCGGGGGGGCAGTGGAGGACAGGGGGCCTGGCATATTGTGGCCTGTGTTGCTCACAAAGAGTCAAACCCAACTTAGTGACTGAACAATAGATTCTAAGCTTACAATTCAGATATTACAACTGAATCAATTCATGTTTGATTTTTAAAAAACTGGAGTTCGGAAACAATGCAAAATGTAGATAAAACACCAAAATACACTAAAAAAATAAACAGAACAATCCTTAAATTACACAAAAAAGACGCAAAAAAGAGAAAGATAAAAAACAAACTAAGAGAAAAAAACCCCACCACTTATATTAAATTTACCAATAATCACTAAATATACCATAGAGTAAAATGTTATCAAAAAAATAACATAACATCTCAGCCAAAGTAGAATATGTTGCTTCATCCTTTGATTAATAGACAATATTGCCTTTTTCAAGACAAATTAAGTTAAACATTTCCAAATGCCATTTCTTAACTTCTGGAACAATATCACTTTTTCAAGTTCTCAATATAATTATTTTGGCCATCCCTCATGCAGGATACAAGAAGCTCTTCTTCTGGATACTCTTAGCCATGATAGCCATATCATGGTTGAGGCAAAAAGAGGATGAAAAAATATGACCAAGTGACATCTACCAATAATGCTTGCAATGATATCTGCGACTGGTGGCAGCATTTTGAAGCTGTCTAGCTTTTCAGAAGCTCTGTTATTTTAAACCTTTTAACGTGAATTGTACACCTGCACGAACTGGTATTCATAAGCACACTACCTCTGATTTTGGAGCTAGCATATGAGCAGCAGTTACAGATTGTTTTACCTTCCACGAATTTATCTAATGCCTCCTTACAGCCATTATTACATCTTGTGATCACTGAACCATGCCTTGCATGAAAAAGGAATTCCCTTTGCCTATTCTGGATCTGTCATCGTGCCAATTTTTGGATGATTATCCAGATTCTAGCTGGGTGGAATTTATTTTCTCACAATGAGATTAATGTTAGAAATCTCCATAGTCCTGCTCACCCTCCTTTCCTTTAATTTAAAAAGGCCTAAGTGCAGCCTTTTCACATATGTTGTTAGTCCCCAAATCAACACAGCTAGAAATATATAGCTAAAATAAACATTAGTTTTACTCCTACCTCCCTTGTGTCCAATTTTAGACAATAACTTCAGGAAAAGAACTCGCCTTTTTTCTTGTTGAGAAGTAAAGTACAATGGATATTGACAATAAGACATATAATGAAAAGTTACAGGAAAAGCAAAGGTAATTCATGAAACATAAGGGATGATTGCTGGCAGATGATATTAGGTGGAAGAGTCTGGGGACTTAACATATACCAGCATCATGCTTCAGTTCCTGATAAATAAGTTTGCAAGAATTGGCTGTAGGAACATCTGCACCAACTCTTCAATGCTTCATCCCAGTTCACAGTGCCTGAAAAGCATCCTTTAGTTGATTTCAAGATGGAATTGGAAACGAGGGAGTACACATTAAAAACATAATTATTTCTACTATACCCATAGGGGAAAAATAACATCCATCATGTACATTGCTCCCTGGTTCAGCAATGATGGAAAGACATTTGGGGAAGTAAGCTGCTTTCACAATGGTCATTTTTTTCCATCATACATAAAGTATTGTGGCTTTTTTTTAATTTATTAAATTTCTATACCAACCAACACAACTGTGACTCTGGCAGCTTACAACAGCATAATAAAAGCATATAAGTAAATGAATAAAAACACAAATTAAAAATAGAGTTAAGATCAAATTAAAACTTACAAGTAAAATAAAAAGTAGAGTTATTATTATTATATATAAACTATTTTATATATATCCTTTCAGAAACTGAAAGGATCATATCCTTAAAATTACGGTGACCAAGCTAAGAATCATGCGGAATTATTTAAGTTGCTTTGAGAATGAAAGTGTGATACTCGCTGGCCTCTTGAAGGAACACAGGCTTAAGGTTAATATTGTTAAACAAAAAAAAAATTTCATTTAAAAGGTTCAAAGTTTAGCCTAATCTGAACCACCAAGAAATGAAACCACACAGAGTGAGCCACAGATGGTCTAACACAGGGCTTTTCAACCAGTGGTACGGGTACCACCTGTGGTACATTGGCACCTGGCAGGTGGTACGCAACCATCCTAGAAAAGTGGTAGCGGGGGAAGTGAATGAGATGAACTGGTGGCAGCTCCACACAAGCCTGAGCAAGAGATGGCTGGAGCTGCAGGGCTGTCAGGGCTGAGCAGAAGTGCCAGGATCAGTGCCACTTTCCAGCTGATCGGTGCTTCTTCTGGGCTGTCAGGGCTCAGTGGAAGCGCCAGGATCAGTGCCAGGATCAGCGCCAGGCTCCAGCTGGAGCTCGGCGCTGATCCTGATGCTTCTGCTGAGCCCTGAAGAAGCACCAATCAGCTGGAAAGCAGCACTGATCCTGGCACTTCTGCTGAACCCAGAAGAAGCGCTGATCAGCTAGAATGTTACAGCATCTCCAGGGTCTTGTGATTTACATTCAGATGCTTGGCAACTGATTCATATTTATGACGGTCACAGTGTCCCAGGGTCATGTGAAGTGACCAAAACCTGCTGCAACCACCCAGCAGATGGGGGGAATAAAAATCAAACACCCCCCACCCCACCCCCGCTGCCAATCCTCAACAGAAATGCTCACAACAAAGAAAACCTCAGACAGGAAGAAGAGCGCCGCCACAGGCAGGCAGGTGTCTTGCTTGGCTGTGATTTGGGGGGGGCACTTTTTCAGTGCCACTGTAACTTCAAACAGTCACTAAGTGAACTGTTGTAAGTCGAGGACTACCCGTACTTTATCACTTTTTCCCTTTTTTTTTTTTTTTTGGTCATCAAGTTTTTGACACCTTGCTAGGCGACTGGTG